TTTCTAACAGTCCATTTTTTTCAGCCATATTGTTGGGCTTTTTTTTTCTTAAGGTTTTAGACAACGTTACTGTCAGGCGTTCTGGCTTCGTATGATACAGAGACCGATTCAATTATAGCAGCTGCTGTTTGCTTCCTCAACACTCTCTACGTCACACAAAATGAGATTCAGTAAGGTGAACAGTGTATGCTTTTACACATGGCCAACAGTGACATTTCATGGTAATTCCAAACACTTATATTCTCTGCTCATGAGATGCACAATATTAATGATTTATTCATTTGTTTTATCCAATTACAAATGCATAAGAATGATTTACACATGAGTTCAAATTCCCAGCTGCCTGAGAGTTTAAAGGATTAAAAATAAAATGAGGTTAAAATGAATGCATTTACAGCTTGCTACCCAGTGATTCTCATGACTAGAGATGGAATGTTATTTACGATTAAAATACTTAGAAACAAATTTCATTCAAATTATGATTATAATTATATAACCTTAAACAACAATTCCAAATTAAGTGTTTTCCTAGCTCTTCTATCATTGCTCACCCCTCTTGCCCTCACGAAGAGTGATGGCAAGGAGACAAAAAAACTAGCGACAACACAGAAAAAAATAATAATGTGAGGGCTTTTGATTTTAAAATAAACCTTTCAACAAAATTTCTGTTATGCACAGTGATTCGTATTTTATAAAATACTTCAATAAGGTATTTCTTTCAAGGACAAATTATGATGTACATAAACTCAAAGTCTAAACAGCATAACTGTAATTCTGAAGCTCACGCTATGAAACATCAACAGGTTGACACAACATCTGTTCTTCAGTTTTTCACCCAAGTTGTTATGGTAACCAAAATATGTGGAATGTTTCCTAAATCTAACTGATTATTTCAAGTAAATAAAATTATATCATATCTGCTTATCAACAACAAATGATATTATTACTACAAACCTATATTTATCATTTTCAAATACTACTAGATCACACAATTTATTTAACTGGGCATTTATACATGTTAGGTTTTTTTCCCCCCAGAATTCACATTAAAAATGATAAGAGTATTTTTTTTTCTAATTTGAGAATCCTACCTTTATTTAAAGAGAAAATAAGAGGTCATCATGGTAGCATATACCTTTAATCCCAGGACTGGGAAGGCAGAAGCAGGAAGGTGGATCTCTGGGTTTGAGGTCAGCCTGGCCTACAGAGAGAGTTCCAAGATAGCCAGGACTACACAGAAAGACCCTACCTCAAAAACAAAAACACAAAAAAAGGGAAGAAGTGTATTCTCTGAACAATATACTATGCCCAAAATCCTCCAGAATAAAACGAGTGTTCAAGGCAGGATATCACACCCTCCATCTCTGCTCAGAACCTGTCGGCATCTCACTCCGAGCAAAGTCCGAGTCCTCACTGCAACCACCTTCTCTACTTAGCCCAGTTTAGGTTTGTTTGTTTTTTTATACCTATGAGTGTGTGCACACTTGTGCACATGTGTACATGCACGCTGTGTGCGTATTCATACATGCAGACAGAGGCACCCATCTGGAGGTCAAAGGGCATTCTCAGGTGTTGCTCCTTTTCTTGTTCAGTGCTGCATACAAACAGGCTAGCTGGCCTGAGGTTCTGGGGATTCTCCTGTCTCCACCTCCAATTTCCCTGTAGGAGTGCTGGAAGTACAGGCCATGCCCAGTTTTACATCAGTTCTGGAGTTCCAAACTCATGTCCTCACACTTTCACGGCAGGCAGCTGAGCCACTGAACCTAGCTATTCAATTTCAACTGCTTTCCAATATGCCCCCCCATCTTTGCTGACATATTAGTTGTCTGCCCAAGAATGAATTGTTTTTCCCAGAAATTCCTACTTTGAAGCCTGAGCCCCTAATATGTACATCTTTGGGGACAGAGCCTACAAGAAGGTAACTGCAGATATACTGGGTCATAAGTATGGGATCCTTATCCAATAGGACTAGAGCCTTTACAAAGAGAGCTGCACCTGCTCTATCTCCTTCATTAGAGAGGAAGCTTGATGAGGCTGTGGATCTCTCTGACATTGCCATCACAAAACCTAAGCACCGTAAGAAAAAGTGATTCAGCATCTGCTGAATATGTGAAACATTTAAATCATCTTTAATGTTGATAAGCTATAGTAAGAAAGATTTTATAATGGCATTCAAAGAATCTGATAAAATACTTATAATCCTTAGCACATGAAATTAAAAATTAAAGTCACCAAAATTTATGTTCCTGTCACAGAACCACATGGTCTTGCTTTCTTGGTTCTCTCCTCATGCACTTGATCCCCACAAGGCTCTGACTCCCACTGTAGGATAAACTCCTTCACCTTGGCTTCCACTCAGTGCCTAGGTGAACTTGTCCATTTCAGCACTTGGCTTCTGGAGAGCAACGCTGCAAGCACTGTGTCTGCCATAAGCCAGCACTAACGCTTTAGACTTTCAAAATGTATGGGTGTAAACGTCAGGGAACAGACGCCATTAGTAAAATTCAACCCTTACTTAGTTTACAATAAACACCCCAAATAAACGATCCTGTTCAGAATGCAGTCTTTAGCAGTATGTAGACGCACATCTTCCATCCATGGCTGCTTCCTGCCATTACAGAAATCTGGCTGAGGAGAGCGGCACATTCCAATCTTTATGACTGTGTGTTCTAATTAACAGTATACCCTTGTACTAACTATCATTCTCACTTCAACCACTGAATTATTCCCAATGTTGTAGTAGAGTTTTATTGCTTTCAAATTGAATTTAATCACTTGGGGGAAAAATATAAGAAATTTACCTGCAGTTTTCAAATTAAATTTCTAAACTGGGATGGTTTATTTTTGGGGAAAAAAAAAATGACCTCCCCTGTTTTCCTCCCTCACTGGCTCCCAAATAACATTTGTTTCTCCAGCCATGTTCCCTGTGCTCTCTAATCAACTTTTTTCACAGATCTCCCTGAAGAACCATTTTTTTAAAAAACCTGTCTGAAGATCCTCAGTGATTTGGTGAAATGACAGCTTCAGAATTTAGAATAGGCTTCAAATCACAGCTAGCTAGTAGAATTCGTTATCTAGTTTAAACAAGTGCAGAGTTTAGAATTGCACTGAGTTAAAATGAAAAGAACATGTGTGTGTCGAGACTGTAGACACAAGCCATGTCCTCTCCAAAGCTTGTAACATCCAGGGGTCCTCTCTGGTCCTCAATATAACCAATTACTAGTGAAACAGATAACATTACTGTTTGGGTGAGTAATTACTACAGATTATTGAGGTAACTTCACTACTATTTTTTCAATGTTTTTCCTTCATGTTAAGGATCTAACTAAGATTTCATTCACAAAAAAAGGTACTAATCAACTAGTTTTTGTTCCTCTCAAAATTCACATGTAGAAATGCTAATACCAACGTGATAGCATCACAGAATGAGGCCATGGAAGTGTGATCAGCTCAAGAAAAATCGGTTCTTCATTAATAGGATCCAGGCCTTATTAAAATATGCTCTATTTTTACATAGTGTCCCATGCTTGTAGTCCAACACTGGGAAAACTGAGGTAGGAAGACCTCAAGTTCAAGACCACCTTCAGCTCCACAGGAAGACTCTGACTTAAAATAATACAACAATAAACAAACAAACAAACAAATAAAGAAGGATAGGCAGATGGATGGATGGATGGATGGATGGATGGATGGATGGATGGGGATGACAGATGGACAAACTCATTCCACACCCCCATGTAAGGTTATACTAGGAGACATCTATAAACTGGAAAGTGAGTCCTTAGCAGGCACCAAGTTTTATCTAAGATTTCCCAGTTTCTAAATTTAGAAACAAATCCCCACTGTTTCTAAGACACGCAGAGATGGAAATGTTGGCAGCTGGTAGAGCTCCTGACTAGCATGAAGCCTGAGTTGTGTCCCCAGCACTGTACAAAACCAGGCACAGCAGTACAGGTCTATACTCTCAGCACGCAGCAGGTCAAGGTCAGTCTCAGCGACATGGTCAGTCTGTTTGCGGCCACCCCAGGCTCATAAAGCCTGTCTCAGACAAACAAACCAAAAATTGACAAAGGCCAGACATGAGGGAGCATATATTTAATCCTAACATTTGGAAGGCAAAGGTAGAAGTAGGAGAATCTTTGCGAATTCTGGGCCAGTAAGTTCCAAGGTAGCCAGGGTTATGTAGTATGATGCTGGGAAAGGGAAAGGGAAAGGGGAAGGGGAAGGGGAAGGGGAGGGAAGGAAAGAAAAAAGGAAAGGGAAGGAAAGGGAAGGGAAGGGAAGGGAAGGAAAGGAAAAAGGAAAGGAAAGGAAAGGAAAGGAAAGGAAAGGAAAGGAAAGGAAAGGAAAGGAAAAAGGAAAGGAAAGGAAAGGAAAAAGGAAAGGAAGGGAAAGGAAAGGAAGGAAGAAAGAAAGAAAGAATAGAACAACTGGAGTTGATATCCATTTAATCCAAAACTTAGACATTACTTAGCAACAGACTAAGTTATGACCAATATATTAGAAAAAATGCCTGAAGTTGTTTTCTTTCCCTTTTTTACTTTCAGTTTTCTCTGAGACAGGGTCTCTTGTAGACCAAGCTGACCACAAACTCCCTGTGGAACCAGGAATGTCCTTGAACTCCTGATTTTCCTGTGCCCACCTCCCAAGCACTGGTATTACTGGTACGATTCACACCGATTTTACAATGCAGTCCAGCGTTTCCTGTATTCTAGGCAAGCACTCAGCAACTGAGCTATATCTCTGGGCCCACCTAAACATTTAAAACATTACGGAATCAGTTAAAAGTCAAAGTCAGTCACTAGAGTTAGATCTCGCATCGAGGAAACTCAGCTGTATGTATCAATTTACTCCCTGAGAGTTGCAGTAAACAGGACTTTCCTTTGCTGGCCAACTCCGTGAAAACCAATAGTCAATAATTATAGTTACAAAAATAATTGCATAGTGAAACTCACCTTTTCTCTACCGAAGAAGCAACAGCATTAGCAGAGTTAGCTCACCTGTGGTATGAGTCTGTCCAAGTACTCAGCTCGGTTCCCATGAGAAGGGTGTGTCGACAGCCACTCTGGCAACTTGGGGTAGCCATGAAGACTCTCTGAAAACTCCATCTGCTGCCAAAACACTGAGCTGGCTCTTACGTCCACACACGCCTAAGCACAGAGTTAATAAGGCACACAATGAGCTTAGTTACTTTGACTTAAAAAAATTAACTCTGCAAGTATTCAAAGCGTTAAGGAGGGAGAATCAAAGAAATGAGGAGGTGGAGGGAGTAAGGATGAAAAGAGAGAAAAATATATATGTTTACTTTGTGTCACTACATGCTTCAGAATTATTCGAATTTCCTATCACCATTTAAATAAAAGTAGAATATGTTCACTACTTAAAAGAATAACACCGCAAGTGGGGACTTATATTCAACAGTAGAGTAAAATGCCTAGCACATGATAGGCTCTGGGTTTGATGCCCAGTATTCCGAAAACAGAATGAGGAGAAAAGCAAAGCTCAAACAATATAGCATTGCAGCAACACAAGCCTACCACCCTGACTCCTGCCCAGTAATCATTTTCAACAATCCCACTATTTTCAGCATGTTGGAAAATAAAAACATGTATTAAGGGTAAACTCTTTGATATAAATTAACTTTTCTATTAAAAATAGTCTGCGATTAAACTTCACTAAAGAAGTTTTACACCTAATAATACAATTAGAAAAATTTAATAAACACGAAAAAAATAATTAATATATATCAACCTGTCCAATTTTCTCAACTACATGAGAAAAAACACATTTAGGCCATTCAAAACCCACCATATTTTAAAGGATTCATATGGATCTATTGTAGAAAGGGACACAATTTTATCACAAACTCATAAACACATCCTACACATACACTTTAAATACACAAAATAATGTAGACGACTACTTAAAAACTGTTGACAGTGGTTGCCCTGGTAGTTTAACTTACGTATTTGAGGTGGGAAGGAAGTAGCTTAATTCTGAACTATATTAAAGTGTTTGCAATAAAGTGTCTTTTTAAATCCTCCATAAGAGGACTTAGAGATCTTTTAGAAATCTGTTCAGTTTTCCTCACATCTTATTTTACTCTTTCCATAAAAACTAGGAAACAAGTGTTTACATTTCCCATTTTACTTCTGTAGGTCAAAATGTGGAAACCAAGGCCTTGAGTCGCATGACTGTGATGCCTAAGAAGCAAGACAAACGGCACGCTGTGCTGCTAATTTTATGTCAACTTGAGATGGCTAAAGTTGTTTGTGGAGAAGGGACCTCAAGTGAGAAAATTTTCTCACCAAATTGACTAGAGGAGCATTGTCTTAGTTGATGATTAACATGGGAAGGTCAAGCTCATTATAGGTGGGGCCACGCCTGGGCTGGTGGTCCTGGGTTCTATAAGAAAGCAGGGTGTGTGTGAAAGCCATGGGGAACAAGGCAGTAAGCAGCACCCTCCATGGCCTCCGCATCAACACCAGCCTCCAGGTTCCTGCCCTGCTGTACTTTCTGTCCTGCCTTCCTGCAATAAGGATGTAGAGTTGTAAGCTGGAATGCCCCAACCACCAGTTGCTTTCAGATATGATGTTTTATCACAGCAATAGATGCCTAACCAAGACAGTCAACATCTATGCTGCCTCCCCTCTTATAAAACACTAACAAGACATTTTTAAGGTTAGGAAATAAAAAGGAAGAAATGATCTGGAATTCAATTTCTATTCAATGTTCAAATCAGTGTAGTTCTTTAATCACTTTAAGTATTCTAAATTTAAAAGAACCCAAGATAGGGCTGGACAAATGTCTTAGAGAGTCAAAGTGCTAGCCAGGAAGTTCTAGTTTCCCAGGTTTAAGCCTCAGAACTTGCAGAAAAAGCCAGATGCTGTGGCATCAGCTGTAGCCCAGCCCTGCTCCAGTGAGACTGCAGACAGAAAACCACCTGGAAATGCACAGGCCAGCTAGCCCAGAACACGCAGCATGCAGTGGAAACAAGAGAGGCCCCACCTCAACAAGGAAGATCAAGCTCAGACACCTCGAAGTTGTCCTTTCATGCCACAGTAACACTGTGGCATGTGTGTGCCTGTGCACAACAGTGACCCTGCATGAATGCATATATACACACCAATAAATTTAAACATCTTTAAAAACACAGTGTTTCCCTGCGAAAGCGCCAGATCGATTTCCAGAGTGAGTAGCGCTTCCCCAAGATCCAGCCATCCCACTCCTAGGCATATATCCAAAAGAGGCTCAAGTACACAATAAGGACATTTGCTCAACCATGTTTGTAGCAGCTTTATTTGTAATAGCCAGAAGCTGGAAACAGCCCAGATGCCCCTCAACTGAAGAATGGATGCAGAAATTGTGGTACATCTACACAATGGAGTATTATTCTGCAATGAAAAATAAGGAAATCATGAAATTTGCATGTAAATGGTGGGACCTGGAAAGGATCATCCTGAGTGAGCTGTCCCAGAAGCAGAAAGACACACATGGTATATACTCACCCATATAGACATACAACATAGGATAAACCTACTAAAATCTGTACATCTAAAGAAACTAATCAAGAGAGAGGACCCTGACTAAAATGCTCAATCCCCATCCCGAAAGGCAAAGAGGATGGACATCAGAAGAAGAAAACAGGAAACAACCTAGAAACCTGCCACAGAGGTTTTCAGAGCCTCTGAAAGGCTCTGCCCTGCAGACTTCAAAGCAGACACTGAGACTTATGGCCAACTATTGGGCAGAGTGCATGGAATCTTATGTAAGAAGTGGGAAATAGTAAGAGCTGGAGAGAACAAGAACCCCACAAGGAGAGCAACAGAACCAGAAAATTTGAACACAGGGGTCTTCCCAGAGACTCATATTCCAACCAAGTACCATGCATGGAGAGAACCTAGAACTCCTGCACAGATGTAGCCCATGGCAGTTTAGTGTCCAAGTGGGTTACATAGTAATGGGAAGAGAGACTGCCTCTGACATAATCTGATTGGCCTGCTCTTTGATCACCTCCCCCTGAAGGGGGAGCAGCCTTACCAGGCCACAGAAAATGACAATGCAGGCACTCCTGATGTGATCTGATAGACTAAGATCAGAAGGAAGGAGAGAAGGACCGCGCCCCTATCAGCGGACTTGGGGAGGGGCAGGTGTGAAGAAGGGGGAGGGAGGATGAGATCGGGAGGGGAGGAAGGAGGGGCTTATGGGGGGATACAAAGTGTAATTAATAAAATAAAATTTAAAAAAAAGAACAAAGTGTTTTCCTACTAAGCAGCTAGAAAGATTCAAGTTTATCTGTGTATTTAAAAAATACATTTATGGGGTTTTTTAACCTAATAAATGTTAGTCAAAAGACAAGTAAAATATTTACCTGTTCAATCTAAGTAAGATAGCTTAAGGAAATATTTAAAACATTTGCTATGTAGAAATAGAGGAAAAAATTATCGCAGTAGGTAACTACAGTATTTCAAACTAAAAACACTTTGGCCCACTGTGTTTCTCACTAGCTGACCCTCAGAGTGCATCAGAGAATACTGTGAAGGCCAGGAGAGGCGCTGCTCTGCAGCAAGACATCAACAGAGCCACGGGGCTGGGGTCTAAGAAGAGAGCTTCAGGCCTGAGAGTGATCCCCAGCAGCTCATAAACTGGACACAGTGGCCATCCTGTAATCCTACAGCCTGCAAGGCTGGCATAGGAGGGTCAGAAGTTCAAGGTCATCCTTAGCCACTCACTGAGTTTGAGGCTGGCCAGAGCTACATGAGACCCTATCTTTAAAAAAAAAAAAAAAAAAAAAAAAAAAAAAAAAAAAACTAATAATATACAAAGAATAACATAGCATTTTGAAAAGAAACTGATAGGTTACAATAACAGACCCCAAAGAAATGAAAATTTACATAATGATTGACAACTGAATTCAGAATACCACTCATAAAGAAAAGAAATTCAGTGAACTATAAAAAATAATAATGAAACTCAGTTAACAATTCAGAAAAAACTGTGAAATCTAACAAACAGATTATTTTTTAAAAAGATAAATACTGGAAATTAAAAACACAATGACTAAACTAGAAAACCCAACAAACATCTTCAATGGTAACTCTACTGGGCAAAAAAGAATAAATTGAAAGACAGAGAAACATTTGAAATTGTCCAAAGGAACAAAAAGGATGAAAAAGAACACCTGTGTGAATTATGGAACAACACCAAGAGAGCAAACATTCACATTATAGTTGCAGAAAGAGGATGAAGAACAGAAAGAGAATTTAAGGACATGCTGCTGGAAACTTCCAGATGCCATCAGTCAGGGACAGGACGTACAGATGTCATCGATCAAATTCAATCCAAAGGAGAAGAGAGCACAAAAAGTAATACTCAAACTCTAAGGAAGAAGTAGTCTAAGTGTTTCAACATGGCCTCTCAGAAGGTTTCTCAGCAGAAGCCTTGCAGCCCAGCAGTGAGTGGGATGACAACGTATTCAGGTAACAAAGAAAATAACTGTCAGCGAAAAGGCTTTTTTCCTGAAATGCTGTTTTTCATAAATAAAGGAGAAATGAAAACTTTCTGAGACAAAGAAAGCGACAGGAAGAATGGGGAATGGTGGCATGCTCCTAAAATCCCAGCATATGAGGCGGCAAGAGGAAGGCCACACAGTAAGACACTGTCTCAAAGGCAAAGGTATTCACAACCACCAGTCTCGCCTTAAAGGAATTGCAAAGGAAATCATTTAGACTGAAATACATATTCAAATAGCTGTTAAATAAGAACATGAGACAAGTAAGTGAAAAATCGGTGCTGTATGTAAAACAAAGCCATCTTCAAGATACTCTCAGATCACCATGTTTCCGTGGAAGCAATCTCTTATCCATCCTTAGAAGGAGGGTTAAAAGATGTTAATAGCAACCACAGGCAAGAAAAAGGGCAAGGGTCCACATCACAAACTGATGCAAGTACTAGCACAAACCGGAAACTGTAAGCAAGACAATCAATGTTAAATGATTACCAGCTTGAAACAAGCTGTTAATGCATTAGGTATTCTACTCAAGCCTCACACTAACTAGAAAGCAAAATTGTTAGTAGATCTACAGAGCAAAATCAGAAAGAATCCCAAGCATTTTGCTATATAGAATCATCCAAACTCAAGGAAGTAGGC